ACTAAACGTTCGTTCGCTCGGACGATTTATGATCGCGTTTCATAAATCGTGAATGATTGATCGCGGTCGACCGCTTCGGCGCAACAAACAAATAATTATGTCACACATTGCACCGCCGTCAGCATGCCGCTCGCCGCAGTAGCAACGGCAGCAGCGGTAACAGCAGCAGCGGGGCGAAAACAAGAAGCCTCATCTCGGTCGGCCACGAGTCGACGAGTCAATGAACCAAACGCGCAGATAAATCGCCGCGGTCGCGCTAAGATCATTCGCGATGCAGTCGGTGTGTCGGGAGATGATCGAGGCTACGGCGGCGGCCGGCGCGTCATAAGATGCACGCGTGAACGAGCGTGCGTGCGTGCGTGCGCGTGTGCGTGCGCGTGCATTCGCTGCGCAACCGCGAATCGAACGCGGATCGATGTGGAAATTCCTCTCTTTGACCTCCCGAACCAGGCCAAGCTACTTTAACCCCTTTAACCGTTCCGTCACCACATGGCGTTGCCTCGTCGTGTCTGATAACGACGCAATCTATGAACTGGACTATGAAAATAGTTACGCAGCTTTCCATGTCTCTCGATCTCCCTCGCGGTTTCTTCTCTCTCTCTCTCTCTCTCTCTTTCTTCTCATTCCTCCCCCCCCCTCACCCCTCTTTCCTCTCCTTAAAAGAAGAATCGCCGTATCGGATACTACCAGACGGACTTTTTCGCGATTCCCGCTAGTCTTGTCAAGACTAACGCGTCACTCGATACACGTACGTGTTTCTCGTCTGCTGCTCTCCTGTTGCGTTTGCATTCCTTTTTTCGCATTGAAACACTTCGTCAAGTTACAATATTATGATATGTATGACGTCTCAGTATTCTTCGTCGAGTTCGAAATCGATTTTTAATGAAAGTTTTGCATAATATATATCTCAACTGTTAAATTTCTCGATCAACGTATTATAGAGTTCGATTTATTATATGAATTATATACTTTCATATACTACTTTAGTTGAAAATGGATGAATCGGAAGATTCTGATTATATCAATCTGGTTATATCAACTAAGAATTCTAATAGATTTAATCAGAAAATTCTGATTCATTCATTTTCAACTAGAGTTCCATTTAATCCGACCAGACATTTTCTCAATATCAACTTTCCGATTGATAACACTATCTCTAAATTCTTTGGAGTGGAATCTCACTCTAAAGAGTGAAGATTGAGTCAAACTTGAAAAGGAGTGGCTCAATTTTCTTAGGAGATTTCTTCAGAGTAATAAGATTCTCTAAAAGTTTTAGAAAGTACACATTTCGATTGACAATTATAAACCAACCATAAAATCTTTCCCTCTATTAAGTTCCCGAAAGATTAAGTTTATTCATCCATACGCATAATTTAAATTCAATTGTAATTTCCTGTTCCTTATTAGATGCCAATTAGTTATTCGGATACGCGCGGCTTACCTTGCAAATGCAGCGGAAGCATCTTGTGTTCAGGATCTTATCGACGGTGATATCTTCTCCCTCGATGTCGCAGGTCTCTCGGCTTCCTGTAATCGAACAGAAACAATTGTAGTGAAAAGAATGAATATGCAGAGTACTCGCGCGTGATGTCGGTTGTGTACCACGCCGCAATATCCCGGTAGTCCAATAGCGCGATAGAGACGCTGTAATCACAATGCAGCATTCCAATCCACCTTCGTATATATGCTAGAAGCTTCCTCATTCCTTCATACACGTCGTACGTGAGCCGAGCGCTCAAAGATTTACTATTACATTTTGGACAGTGATCGTGTACGCGATGGGCACAGAATCATCATTTCAATAATCGTTTCTAATAACGTTTTATGAGACTCAGTCGCTGAATTAATATGATATAATGAAATGCCTTGGGAGAACAAACGAAATACAGCTTTCTCCATAATTAAATCGCGACTGGAATAAAATTAAGTCATTTACATGTTAAACCAATTTTCAGATAGCTTGATAGTTTTATCCGATAACTTTTCTATTCGATCTATTTTTTGTAGATGTGAAATCATGCAAGAAGCATATTTCGCAAATATTTTGTAAGTAACTTAAAATGACTGAGACAAATTCTTTTGGCAAATTTAGCTTTCTATTTTTTTTTTTATTATATTTTTATTTTTTCTCGCTCCAGTATTATTGCCCTATAAAAAAATTAAACGCGACAGCATCGTGAACGTACCTTAGGACGTACCCCAGTCGTTAAATTGTCCATTTCCCAGCGAAAATCATGTCGCGCTCCGCTGCTAGATCGACGAAGCCGCCATCATCAACGTCCCTCCCGGTTCCCTCGCGCACGTATTCCTGCACACTTTAAGCAACTTTTCTGTAAAACTTCAGTCATTTCTCGCGATTCTCTCTCTCTCTCTCTCTCTCTCTCTCTCTCTCTCTCTTCTCTCTTTATTTATTACTCTCAAAGCATAATCCACCGAACCGTTAAATTGTGTAATCAAGTAACGCTTGTTCTCTATTTTTGAATTTCCATTCGGATATGTATGAGAGAGTGCGTGATTAATATATTTTTATTATTACTGTTTGTGGCTTTATCTATTTTTTAAATTATTTATTCAGACGACATATCACATTCTATATATAGAGCAGAATAAAATATCGCCTTTGTCACTTTTCTTTTTATCTCTTCTTCTTATTCGTCCTCCTAATGGAGATAATAAGTTTGGCGTTTTTCCCTTCGAGAAAGCGCTTTGTATACTCCGTCACTGCTCTCAGAGATTTAACGCGTTGTGCACTTTTCGAGGCGAATTCGTATCGTCAATTCCTTCGGCTCATTTAGATGTACATATATCTCTTCACAAAAAAATCTCACGAGAGAGGATCAATTATTTGCTTTATGGACAATCGATTGCAAAATTTCTAAATACTGCCACTTTCTATCGGAAATATTTAAGATCCATATTTTTATAACACGTATGACTAAATTGTCCGATTCTAAAATTTGTCTTATTTTATTGAGTCTTATTTACTTAAAAAAATTACATCAATATTTCCATTTTATAACACCCGAAAGAAATGTTCAAAAAAATATTCACAGGTACAGTAAAATAGTTTGAAATAAATCATAATAAGTCATAATAAAATTTAATATGAATATGTGTACATCTTAAAATCAATGGAAATATTTCTACGAAATGCATAAGAGAAAAAAAAATAAAAATACTTATTTTCAATCAATTTATAAATTGATTTAAGAAGTCATATTAAACGTGAAAATATTGTATCATAATAATTTCCTTATTTATTTATCCAGAAATTAATTTTTAAGTAATGAAATAAATATAAAAACATTATTACGTAAAAAAGCAAGTAGAAATAAGTGAAAATTAAAAATTAAAATAATAAAAATAAGGGAATATGAGTTTAGTTAAATATTTATTGTTAAATTTTAACGATGAACAATTTCAACAATGAATAACAGACGTTTCGACTTCTATCAAGTTGTTATATATGTTGAAAAAAACTACATTATATTATTAAAAATTACATATATATATATTATGAAGTTATAAAAGCAATGTTTAAATCCAAATTATTACACTATTTTAAAGTAAAATTAATATTAGATTACACTGAAGAGAAAAAGAGAGAGAGAGAGAGAGAGAGAGAGAGAGAGAGAGAGAGAGAGAGAGAGACATCGTGAGGTCTGTTGAAGAGTTGCCAAAATTTGACAAATATCGCGCAAATGTAAGGCTTCTTTTCATAGAATTCATGTGTAAAACGATCAAATGTGTAATCTTCGCCTATCCTCTCGTCAACCGGAATGAAACTGTGCTTGTTCCGTAGTTAAATTTGTCAGTTCTTATTGACAAATTAACTAGAGAACAAGAACAGGTTCATTCTTTGACAAATTATAGTCCACATATTTGATCGTTTTACATTTGCGCAATATTCATCAGGTGTTGGAAACTTCTCAACAAGATCAACGCAATCTAATATTAATTTTAAAATTTCTAAAATAGTGATTGGGTTTTAAACTTTGTGTTCTTGTGTTTAATATGTACAGTTTGTATCGCGTATAATTTTTTCGACATCGATCATGACCTGATAGAAAGCGAAACGTCTGTTGTTTGAATTGTTCATTGAGATTTAACAATATATTTATATGTATATATATATATATATCTAACTAACTTAAAATCATCTAACGTAGACCTCCATTTTTATTATTTTGATTTTTAAACTGTCCTTTTATAGTCTATTTTTTTTTAAATGGAAATTAATTCGTTTTAATCGGGCAAACTTTCTTAACTTTTCTAGGAACTTCCCGAGAAAATGTTCAAACGCTAACAATCAAAGTGAAAGCTGTTAGTATTGTGATAGTATTGTGACTATTAAATAGTGACATCACGAGAACTCACAGAAATCACATCGTAAAAGTAAGTGGCAGTAGTCAATCAGAGATCGTTCGTTTTCGAAATGTTAATACTATTAATTACAATTATCATATTCTTCTGTTGCTTTTGTTAACTATTAAAGAAAAAAACTTTGATATATTACTTTAAAGTGCGCAGGAATGCGTGTACAAGAAAAGTTCGTTGGCGTTCGCGACCGTTTCCTTTTGTCTTCCTTTTTTCCTTTTCACGTATTTGTACATTTCTTTTTTTTTTAATATTCTCACGGTTTATTTCATCCGTGATTTTTCACGGAAAAGTGATTTTTCAGCGAAACGCATGTAACAAACCGCGCGCGAGATATTTGTGTTTGCTAAATAAATTTAAAACAGTTTTGCACTGCAATCTCTTTTTCTCTATTATCTTAATTATCTTCTCTGACCTTTCCCTATATGTTTTTTTTTTCTTTCTCTTTTCCATCAGTTCTGGATGCTTTCTTCTTTCTTTCTTATGCTCCTCGAGCTATTTGCACGGTTAAAAACTCGGAGAGCAGTCTGAAGAGAGCGCGCAAAAAGTGGCATGAAACTCCATGCTGTTCATTTGTCAGATGTCAAATTTCCGCATGAGATGAACGTAGATGAATTTGTACCATTTGAGGAAATTAATATTTTATTTGTCATGATAATTATACACAAATTACATCATAGAATTATTGCATGGAAATCATAGTCTTCAGCACGCAAAAAGAATTTTATTTTTTATTTAACTTATGTAATTAACGTATAAAGGAAGAACAGTGCGAATTAAGTAGAAAATTATCATTCATATAGAAATGCCATAATTCTCAAGAAGATTAATAGACATCATTAGTATGCATGTCTATGACATGGCAATCAAAGCGTTAAATTGAAATTTAAATAAAATTTCATAATGTATATGTATAAAATTAAATTCCTTATACTCATAAGTATATACATATAATTCTGTATTCACAATTGTAATTATTAAATTAAGAAAACTTTAATGATAAAAAGCTTCATGTAATTGAGAATTACTTTTTCTTCAAAAACTTGATTTATTGAGAGATTAAGACACTTAAGATTAAGTGTCTTGAAAATTACAGCTCACACACACAGAATAATAATATTACTTTTAAATTATATTCATCTAACATTTTTTTTATCTTTTAAATCGTCTAATTTCAATATAATAAAATAATTAAATATAATAAAAATACATGAAAATCCCCCGAGGAAAAATAATGTCAAAATATATCTTAAATATTAAAAATTGTCCCCATCATAACTTAATTTGCATATTAACAACGTTATTCTTTTCTTGGCAATTAGTTCTCATTGCCAACTGCGTCAGCAGGAAAGCAGAGCAATTGAGAGCGCGATGCGTCAACTTGTTTTTAGCATTTGTTTTTTAAGCTAAAAAAAGCTGTAACATTTAATCCTAAAGATAACATTAAAGAAATTTGACAATCCTGAGGCTTATATCTAAACGTAAAATTAAATTAAAATAAGGCATGTAAACAATTAATCTCTTATTAATTTTCCTACTTGATTCATAAAATTTCGAATTTCGTAAAAAAACAAGAGGTTATAATAATAAATTAGGTAACATATGTATGAATATAAATTATATAGAGAGCACAAGTTCAATTACGAGCAAGAATCTGTAAGTGCAGACGAACGAAAGATACTTATATACACTTCCAAGTTTAGGATTAATTGTCAGATGAAACGCGAAGCCGCGTAAATCTAATCGGTTTCGAGCGGCGCTAATGATGGGCAATCTCAGTATCATCGGCATTCCGCGATTACAGCGTATCAAAAGTGTTTATAAAATCGTACTTCGCTCCCGCGACTTCTGCGAAACAGCGCGAATCGGTCATCTGATTAGCTCTGGATAATCAGTGGGAATGCAATTTCCTGAAAAACACGTAGCGTTGTTCGTCCTCGATTACGCTTCGCAAAGAGGGACTTGCGCTTCCGCCGATGAGTGCGGACAATTTCCTAGATGCACTTAGCCATCGTGCAGTGCGTTGCGGCGTCCTGGAAAAAGGACACGGAGGGAAGGGACGAGAGGTGGGGATATTTACGCACTCGTTGCACTCAGCGTAAGTGGCCGTTTAGATTGAACTTACCGCTCGTTGTATTCCGCGCGGATACGGTTACGCCCGATGCAATTTCCGACAAAATGACGCACGCGTGCAAAAGTACCCAGGATATGGTTACCGTCGTAAATTGAACTCTGCCAGACTGACCTCGTGAAATCGATTTTGTTGCCGTTGATGCCGATATGTTCCGCACAATACGCGCAATTGTTGATGAGTGATTGTACGTCGCGAAAGTAAATCAGTCGTCTCGTAAAAGACATTAACGTGAATCATTGTAGTTGTATTAAGCTAATAATTTGCAAAAATTAATCGAGGACAAGCAACTTCTGTTACATGCAGTATGTAATCTGTTATGTAATCTGTTACAGAGATTATGTGAAAAAGTTTTATATGACTTTAAGAGCGCATTTCAAAAGATATACAAAAGTAACAGAGATATAAGAAATTTTTCCTGATATATAAAATCATTACTTGAATAATTTGTACATGAAAGTTCAAATTTGTTATGAATCATAACTGATTGCGCGATGGAACCTACAATAATAGATAAATTAATACGCATTTTTCTAATATGATATATTTGCAGATACTATAAAAGAATAATTTGTACCTTATATAAAATATCAAGATTAATTTTTTTCTTTTTTGTATAAAAATCGACTCAAACATTTTCACATAAACTAATTCAACTACAAAAGAAAATGTTCGATGATTATATAAGGTTCAATTAATTTTTTTTTGCATTTAGCACAAAAGTAATGTATCCGATATCCCTTAAATGCTTCAAAAGTGTTGTTTTGTAATTTTGAATAATTTTGAAAAATAAGTAATTCTTATGTGTTTCATATATTATGAGTAATCCACAAGTATACAGAACTCTTCAGACAGAATGACTTCCGCAAAGATTAAAATGACACGTGTAAGATTTTGAAAAAAATTGTCACAAAAGTGCTGCATAGTGTTTTAAGAATTCTCCTGAATAATTTGTCAACGACGGTAAACTCGCGTAAACTCACGAACGAACGAAGCATTCTTACGGGAATGCGAGGCAGAGACGGCGACCTGCTCCACTCGCGATGACTCGTACACGAACCGTGAGATTCGACTCGATTCTGGCGCAAATAGAACGGCAGATAATGGAGATAGGCTAAGAATAGAGCATTTAAAAGGCATAAATGGAGCATGACGGACTCGCGCGCGAATGCAGTGCGAGATAGCAAAGCAGCTGGAATCGGGAATTCGATCGCTTCGTCGGCAATATTCGCGCGCCGCTCTTGTTGGCTGTCTTGTTCACGTATTCGTATATCGCGGAAGTATCACTCGACACAACTATTACGAAACGCGAACGAAAGCGAGATAAAAACGTAGTTTTTACGCCGTCAATCCCGAACACGCGATATTTCTGCTACTTTCTTTCATGATTTCTTTATATCATTCACGTATCAAAAACGGTGAGAATATTCGTAATTATTATTGAAAGAATGATAATACTATAAAAATTACTTTGAAATTATAAATTTAATGTCGGTGGAAAGGAAAGAAATTTTTAAGTGATAAACGCCATAGATTAAGGCTCATTAAGAAATAATCATCATCATAAATATAGTAATGTTAAATCTGACTTGAAAAATTTGAATGAAACATATAGCAGGTGTGATTATATAACATAATTATTGTTTCTTTCGCTGAAAAAAAAAAACAAGACGTAAACAAACATAATATGTAATAGTATTCTCCTCCTTTGAGCTCTTATTGGGATGTAATAAATAATGATTTGTGTAATTTATAGCGACAGGATTGTTTCTTAATCAGTAACTAATTCATTAGCGTTCTCTCTCGCGCGTAAAGCTCTCTATCGAAGAATACAATTCTTTTTTCTTCTATTGAAAAGAATAATTTTTACTTTATAGCACATAAATGTTCAAATTTAGGTTCTGTAATACATATTTTATAAACATATAATATTTAAATATAAATATAAATATTTAAAAGGAATAAAAAAACAATAATTTTGATCAAATATATGTTACCTGACATAATATATATATTCCAGAATTATTTTAGAACTTCGTCAGAAGAAAGCGCTCTTAGTTTTGATTACTTTAATTACTCTCGGAAAATAGCGCGTTGTTCTAATACTTCTCGTTTATACATGTATACTACAATAATTTGTTTATATACTGAATGCAACGAAACAGCATCGATCGAGTTTCGACGTTGGCACCCTTTTGAGCCCAATCATTAGTCAGCTATCAAAATAACACGCTCGCAATCGTTGCGTGCTTCTGCGCTCGTAATACTCACCGATTATACTTTCTGAGGTGGCGTCGCAACGATGTGCCGTCGAAAGGAAGGCCAGGGCCAAAGCCAAAGCCAGTGTCGGAGGTAATCGTGTCAACTCCATGTTTAGATATACCGGATCTCAGACTTTGCCGCGACAATTTGCTGAAAGAACAACAAACAAGATAATCATTAACCACATGACTTCACGTTTTTATTCTCTTTGATCGTGCAATAAAGTTGCAAAACATTTGTACAGATTTATATTTTCAAGACACGAGTCAATGTTTATGTATTACAAGCATGTCTCCGATAGAGACGGTGTCAACTTGAATTTTTGCATACTTTTTAACTAGATAAACACACACGCAGCATTATAATAAATTTGTCGAGTAAAACAAGAATAATCTTGCTACGCGAAATGCAAGAAGCTTGTATACCATTACAATTTATATAAATTTAACTTTTTGAAATGAGATTCCGAGATTATTAGATAATAATTTAAGATGCAGTACTCAATAATACGTGTAATACGCGCTCTCTCTTCATTTGTTTAGAGAGTTACGGCAGATTTGAAGAAATAATCAAGTACACTGTTAAATTCATATAATGTCAAATTATATCAATTGAGTTATTTTTAATCATTTGATCATTTCTGTAGGTTGCCACTCTTACTCGATATGTCGTTAATTTAACTAAAACAATAAAATTAAACAATTTAAACAACTCACGAAAATGTGTTAAAAATCGACTCAAATTTAGTTTATTATTTACTAAGTGTATAGGCATGTTAATATGCGGACGCTGTTTATTTTACAAATATAACTACTACGGATGATTTATATTTTGATATGTATAGAAGTTAAAAATAACAAAAGGATTGAATTGCCATTTCTAACAATGTACATACCGTATATTATCACCAGTAGCATTAATACATAATAGTTCGATGCATTTCTATACATATCAATTTATGCTTAAATGTCCATGGCGCCATAGTGCAACATGGATTATATGCGTCGACATGAGCTCATGTTTTTATTTAAAATAGCAAATTGTTTGAATTTAATCACTTCACAAGTCTTAAAGCACACGCATATTAAATACGAAAAATTAAGTAGAAAAGAAAGAATGTCACGAGGGAACCGAGAGTAACACGATCGAAAGGGAGATATAATGGAATATGCTCAATTATTCCATACGTTATATGCATATACTTTCCAAATGCTTCGAATAAGCCTAACACGATTTTTTGTTTGGTTAATAAGATTCCAGCGAAATCGTGAGGGTAAAAAATTGAGCGTTAGAGCGATTCTCGCCGTCGCCGATCAATTCTTAATCGATTACGAAACCAATATTTACGCGTCTATTATATCTTTTGTATGCAACGCGAGTATCGTTACACCCACGACGAAATATCTCTATGCCGATGAGGTGACTCGACAAATCTATTAATACGTGCACACACGTATCATTCGTCGAGGAGGCGCGTACGCGCCATATCGATAGGCACGATCGTAAAAAAAAGGAGAAAAAAAAAAAGAAGATATAACAGTCAACCGACAGGACCGAGAATCGAGAAATTTATGAGTAGATATTCTTTCGATCGGCTGGTTCGAACTCCGGGAATATTCTTGAACGCATAGCACTGCGAACGAATAGATTGCGTCAAGTGCGAAGATAAGTATATTAATCACGCTCAGTTTTAGTTACTAGAGTCGTTTATTTCGAAAGTCGTTTAGGTCAGCTGAGATATTTGAATCGCTATGCAATTCTACTGCCGTGTTTTCATCGCATATTTACGATATAATAATATGCGACAAGTTAATGTGGAAAATACCAATGTATTATCGATTGAGAGAGAAGTAAACCTATTTTCAGTCGACAGTCGGATCTTACAAAGTGCTTCAATATTTCAGAGTGCGATTTATAACATATCCAATTTTTGTAGACCGCACGAAATCTTTGTCGATCTCGAATCCCAGCTCAGGCAATATATTTTTTCTGATGAATTAAATTATTTTAGTTCTCGAGATACTTAGATTATCAATTTAATATGTGGCATTATTACTTTAGCTCATGATTACGTTTCAAGAGTGAAAAGGGCACGCGTATGCAGAACTGGATACGTTGTATAAGGTCAGTTTTAAATTCCTGCACTCTCTGAACTGAATAAGTTAAAGTGAAACAAACATACGTTATTTCTTTCACTTCAACTTACCGCACCGTGTACGCCAATTTAGAGAGTGCAGGAATAAAAAAAAATCTCTTAATTCATTCTATGTGTAAAATAAAATTTAAATATTAAGATATATTATATCCGTGCGTAAAATAATATTTAAATACTAAGATCTGCTTTGACCGAAAATAAGTTTTCATTTCTATCAATTGACTTATTCTCGCCGGTCTAATGCTTGAATTGTAATCGTTGGTATTAATTGTACTTTTTATTTTCTATTCCTTCGTCTACAATTTCACGAAACGCCTTGCATGAGATATTACTCTCGTTATTCGAAAAAAATAAAGAACGAGAAATAAAAACGCGACCCCGTTCGCAGAGCGATATCTTTCCCCGACCTTATATAAATCGTTTACAGAACAAATGTTATTCTTTATTTTTCTCTACTGCGACGCTTGAAATGTGTGGGAAAGGTGATCAACTTCAGAGAGGGATATTGTCTCCCGATAAATTTCCACGCTCTTCAATCTACAATTCGAGGGAACTTCTGCACCGTCGTGCACAACGGCGCGCATAATGACGCGTCGACACGAGATTGTTTGCAATCATGCAGATTGTTTGCACGAACGAGGCGCGAACAAACAAACGCTCGCGCGACGCTTGTTTGCGAAAGGTAGTGCGAGAGGAGGTGCTCTTTCTCGCGTATCTCGTACTACGTAGTAGGCGGTTTACACGCGGCCGCGGCGCGTCTAATTCAAATCGCAGATGTAATCGGCGGTGTAATCACTGGTAATATCCCGCGCGATTACACACGTAAGTTTACAACGTGAAATATGAGCGGGGACCTAGGGCTGTGCAAATATTCGAACAGTGATATCGTGATTCGAATAAAATTCGACGCGAGGGGATTCCGATTCAAAATATTTCATCGAGACACTGAAAATATCGGCTTTTGCACTAATTCATCTATTCAAATAATTCGGTTATGTATGTTAGGAATTTAGTAGACTGATCGTAAATGTTAAAAAAATGTAATGAACATCGAAGCATCGTAAAATTGCTAATATTCCCTATTAAATGTCACCTTGATGCCTTTTTCATATACATGCGTAAGATATTTCGGTTATTACATTGCTGCGGAAACGAGAAGATAAATTTACGTGCCAATTGTAGACTTATAAAAGACGTAGGTTTCTCCGACGTAGGAGAATAATATGGAAAAATGAGTCGATTTCTTACACGGAATACGGAGTAGATAGCAGGAAAAAATGAGAGAAAATATGGAAAATTATGAGAAAATCGCAGAGATTATTGCCACAATAGATACTAATTTAGCAATTGGGAATTAGCATTAATTCCTTCTATGAAAATGGATGCAAAACGTGTACACGTACGTGCGCGTTTTGAAACTCGAAATTGGATATTAGATCTTGTTTCATTTAGAATTGTACACTGAGAGAACAAAATGGGTTATAATTATCATAATTTAACTATCATTTGCAGTCATTTTTTGGAACAACTATATGCATATTTGCAACTGTTTCAACTACAAATAGTTAATTGTGCTACTACTATAGCCACACTCACTGCTCGGAAATCTTTAGCATTTTTTCTTAACATACTTTTTAGTTATTATTATATTACTGTATAAATATAATAAGCAAAGTTAAGAAAATAATTATATTCATTATAATTACGATTGCTGAATAAAAATGTTGATTTCTTTTTCCACTTGATATTTTACTATATTAATATTTGAAATTATCGTTAATTATAATAAACGTATATTAATCATATATATATATATATATATATATATATATATATATATATATATATGAAAGTAAATAGAAAGAGAACTGTACGCGTAGCGAAGAAATAATCTACCCTCAAGAAAAAGACTATATATACATATAGTTTTCGATTAACAGACGTATAGTGAATATATATTTGTGTGAAAAATAAAAAAAAATGTGGAATGGATCATGAAAAGTTTGTCGTAATATAAAATGTAAGGACAATCTAATCTTTTTATCACTTTCACTGGATTACCCACAGAACGATGTAATAATGGTACACAATCGGTAAGCAATTCAGTGATCCAGAATGTTTTGTATGATTATTCGCGTAGAGGCAGACAGGTAGTCGTAAAACATCAGCGTGGAAAATTTTCCCAACGCACAACGGCGTGTGCATGAAAGTATATCAAATTCACAAGTGTGTAGCGAGTCTTAAGTGGAACAGCTCTATTATGGGGCGTGATTAATAAATATTCGCACGTCACGCAGATATAAGAGGGCCGGGTTCACCTGATCTATTCCGCCACATGTGCGTACCATCAATGCGTCGACAATCACGCCGCCATTGTCATTGATGTATTTAGCGGCGACAATGTTGGGCAACATTTATCTCGGGTGAGAGAAAGAGTGTGTATACTATTTTAAGCGTTTATTTAGGAAGGAAATACGTTTGGGATTGAGAGACGCTTGCTCATACAGCCACCACTTGCACTCGTATATGCTCGAGTATAATTACATTTAAATATAGAAATTATGGCTCATCGTGCCTTGCGTGTCTTCTCACCGCCGTAAGTATCTTTTTAGTTGCCTTAACATTTTTTCGATATCAAATCTCATTTCACGAATACATTTCTCAATATAATAATGCGCTAACAGATCAATGTTTCACATATTCTTATCGTTATTTATATAGTAAATTTTTACTCTAAATATTGTTAGACCCAATATATAATAAAGTTACAAATTACTGTAAAGATCAATCTTACGCCTATGACAGCAAATTTGTTTAGACTGCGTATTAAAGCCACTGATCTAATCCGAGTGTAAAATATTGCAAATATTTCGAATTGTAAAATAGCACAATAAAATGTTGAGGATTTTACAATTTAATCCGTTTCTATTTACATTAAACACAAATCTCTACGTCGGTTGAAATGCGCACTGAGTGCATTCAACTGCAGAATTCA